CATCTTCTTTTGATTTCTGTTAATATTTCTTTGAATCTTTTCTTTTCTTTTTCTTTATTCTGTTTCTATTTTCTTGTGTTTTATAAAAACACACTGTTCACTGTGAGTCTAAATTGGCACATTTCTCATTTTGCTCTTCCAAGGCAGTAACAATATATAAACATAAATACTTACCAATTATTTTTTTTAATATATAATATGATTTAATTATTTAAAGAAAAGAATTTTGTATAAGTAATATATACTGTCATATATTATTCTATCTCAAAAAAAAATATAGATAGAGAACTAGTAGCAGGAAGACACTTTGTATAGATGAACCAATGTGATATGCTAAATTTCATAAGGGTATACTAAAATTAATACAGTTTTGAAATGTATGAAATTAAGCAAAAGAAGCAATAGTAATTTGTTTTGTAAAGGTCAAGTTATTTTATTAATAAAGAGGAAATTTAATTTTGTAATTCCAGGAGAAATTAGAGGCGTTTATATATATATTTTTGAGTATATAATAGATAATAGTAGTAATAATAATAAAATAGATATTATCTTTATTAGAGCAGTTAGCATACTTATAGCAAATACAGAGAAATACTCTAGTAAAGGTATATATAGTAATAAAGATAATAAAGTAATAGAAGATTCTAGAGATAATAAAGGTGATAATAGTAATAAAGGTAAAGGTAAGGAAATATAGATTAGTAGTATAAAGATTATTCTAGAATGGCCAATATTATAAAAGCGAATGCTAGTAAAAGTAATACAAAGAGCAATATAAATCTTGAGCAAAAATCATATATAACAATATATTAAAGTTAAACTTAGTATATTATAAAATATCAAATGCTTATCTAGATTATATTAAAGAATTTAGTATTGAGATAGTATATTACTGTTCAATTAGACCAATGGTTCATATATCTTTACCTGAAACTTTACCAAAATGTATAATAGTATTATAAATATTCAAAATAATAATAACTGGTGTTTTGGGTAATATATATTAGGAGTATTATATCCAGTTAAATTTTATCCAGAAAGAGATCTGCACCAGTTATATAGAAGATATATAGATGAGCTTAATATGACAAATATATCAATTCCTGTACCAGTTTTAACTCTTGTTTATAAAAAATTCGAAAAAAATAATCCTGAAATCAATCTATATATCTATGAATGGCACAATCAAAATAAATGTCTAGAATTTCATTATATAACAGAAAAAAAAAATGATAAATATAAGCAAATAAATTTTTTAATAATAACAAAGGAAGATAGAAGCCATTACTATATAATCAAAGATTTATATAAGCTAATATATAATCATAGTAAATATAAAGGAAGAAAATATCTTTGCTGATATTGTTTTTATATATATTCTGAAGAAAAAATATATAAAGAACATTTATCAAAATACAAGAGACTAAATAATACTCCTCAAATACAAAAGTTCCTATATTGAAAAAAAGTATAAAAGCTTTTAGTAATTATAAATATATGTAATTAAATTAATATCAAATAATTTGGGATCTTAAATGCTTAATTACAAAACTAACTTTAGAAGAAGATGCTCAATTAACTTAGACTGAAAAAATTTAAAAGCATAAACCTTGTGGTTATAGTTATATAGTAATTCATATACTGTAGATAGTTTTTGGTAATTATGAAATTACAAGCTATAATTTATATAGAAAACCAAATGTATTAGAAAAGTTTATAGATAAACTTGAAGAGAAACTAGTAGAAATTCAAGCAGATTTATTATTACTTATGTAAATAATTATGGAATCAAAAAACCATATAATATTCAATAAGGCAACAGAATGCTGTATTTGTAAGAAGCTCTTTATTAAGCAGAAATTTTACAACAATTCAAAGAAGCAAAATAACAATTGTTAGAATATAAAGAATGGAAGGTACATATAAAAAAAATTATTTCAAAATGAAAGACGTACAAAAGAAATATCAACAAGCGTTAAGTAATCTTTATCGTAAAGTGAAAGATTATAATCATATAAGTGGAAAAATATAGAAGACCAGCTCATAATGCATATAATAAAAAGTTACAAATAGAAGCATTTAAAACTAAAATACTATTTAATTGTTATAATTTTTGAAACTATAACTCTTATTTGTTTATAGAGGTTGTAAGCAGATTTATAGCCAATAAGTTAAAATATATTTTAGAAAATATAGGTAAGTACAAAGCTATAAACATTGGTCAATTCCAATTTTTAGATAGTTTTTAACATATATCAATGGGTCTTAATAAACTTGTTAAAAGTTTAGGTAAAAATCTTGAAAATTTTTCTTTAACAGTAAAATACTTCACCAATAAAGAATATTTTCAATAGATAAAATCAAATTAATAATATAACAAAAAGATGTTTTTCTATATAACTGGACAAATACATGAAATAAATTCAATAAAACAAAGCTTTCATGCAAAGAAGATTTCTATTCTTAGCTCAAGTAGCAAAATATTAGTAAAGGAGATTATAAACATGTGCAAAAAGTATGGCAAGAATTTAAAATGACTAGGGCTTCAAAAAGTTCTGAACTGGTGCCAAAGTAATATCAAAATGGTACCAATCTATAGTAAATTTAATATATGGGTTGTGATCTACTCATATGAATTTATAGTAAATTTAAGTATCAAATTGATATTGAACAAGTATCAAAATGGTATCATTAGGAGCCCTAGAAATAACAAATTTTGAAGAATACCATAACCTTTATCTCAAAACAGATGTACTTTTACTTGCAGATGTTTTTATAAACTATACTATTACAGTGAACCCTCTCTAAATGCACACTCCTCGGGACCATAGGAAAATTTTTGAAAAATGTGCATTTATAGAGGGTGTGCATTTATGGAGGTAATTTTATTAAGAGTTCTATGTACTTGGGACCAAGCTTGACCGTGCATTTAGAGAGAGAAAATATAGTAAGTGCATTTATAGAGGGTGCATTTAGGGAGGTCTCTCTGTATATGTTTACAGGATAATGGATTGGACCCTTACATTATGTTTCAGCACCAGGAATGTTTAATGATTCATTATACAAAAATAGTGAAGTTGAGATTAAGCTAATGATGGATATGGATGAGTATTTGATGATGGAAAATGGGATTCGTGGAGGCATGACAATGGTAAGTCAATGATATGCCAAAGCTAATAATGAAAAATGTCCCGATTATGATCCTAACAAACCAAAATCCTGGATCATGTATGAAGATATGAATGCTTTATATTCAGGTGCAATGACACAATACATGCCTACAGAGATTTTAGGAAAGGTAGGTCCAGAAGAAATACCCGATATACAAAATATAGCACCTGATGCGGAAATAGGATACATGCTCAAAGTTGATATAGAGACCCCAATAAACTTGCACGATTTCTTTGCAGATTATCCTTTAGTACCGAAAAAGCAAATTGTATCAGAAAACTGGCTTAGTTTATATAATGAAAGATTAGTATATGACAAAGCAGTTAGGGGTGAAAAAAGTTACTTCAAATACTTTTACTGAAGAAAAATTATGTAGTTCATTATTGTGTGCTCCAGCTATACATGAAGTATGGATTAAAAATTACAAAAATCCATAGCGCATTGAAGTTTAGACAATCTCTGGATGGTGTGATGTATTACAAGCTAAAAAATAACGTCGTATTTGGGAAACAAATGGAGAATGTTCGCAAACACATGAGAGTGGAATACTTCGATCTGGTCAGGACAAAAAACTGACACGCCTTGTTAGTTCACCTCTATTTGTAGGTTTCAAAGCATTCGAGGGTGGAATTACAGCTGTTCATATGTTAAAAAGTACAGTCACTTTGAATAAGCCAATATTTGTGGGACAAGCAATTCTTGATATTAGCAAGGCTATGATGTATAATTTCTGGTATGGATATATAAAACCTCGCTATGGAGATAAGGCTCGCCTACTTTATACTGAAGACATTTATAAAATCTAGCTGAAAGATCAGATATTTTCGATCTTGATTATTCCGGAGATTTATTCTTAATGAAGGATGAAACAAAGGGGGATCCAATAGGTGAGTCAGTATGTTTGAAACCGAAAATGTATTCAGTCCTTCCAGCTGGGCATTATTCAAAAACTTCTGAAACAGATGTAAAAGAATCTAGAAAATCTCAAGGTATGAAAGACTGGCAGAAAAAGCATCGAATGCAAAAGACTAAAGGTATTAAGAAATGTGTAGTTAAGAGAGAGCTTCAGCATAATAACTTTTTAGAATGTCTTAGGACTAAGAAGCTAACCCGACATGATATGTATGGTCTCCACAGTTATGATCACGAAATATATTTGGAACAAGTAAATAAAATTGGGCTAAATCCATATGATAATAAGCGTTGGATTCTATTAGATGGTATACGAACCCTTCATACGGGCATTTATATTAAACGCTATCGTCCGACGAATTACCAAGGAAGAAAAAATCTATATAGCATACCAAAAAGGAGTTTCCGGTGAGGAGGCATCTGGTCGTGTTGACTATGCCATAAAAGGAAACAAGGATCTTATGTGTATAGCAGAAGGAAAGCCTCGTAACGTCGAAATCGGTTACCTTCAGAATATTATGCAATTAGAAAGTGCATACCATACAAATAAGAAGAAGCGTACAGCAGATGAAGCTTTCAAGGATGAATATGATTATCTTTACAGAATAGTGGTTCTACAGGTACTTATAGATTTTAATATCATATAATCCCCGCAATAGATTTTTTGGTTGTACCACATCCGATTTATAAATTTATTTTTTTAGCAATGGAATGGCATTTCATCATTTTTGCTACCGTTGGGATCTATTGCACCAGTAAAAGTGAATATCGAATTAATCTTTCCAAAAAGGCACTTAAAAAGATCTAGAATCTATGAGAGAGGACGTGAAGCAAGTATTGGGTGTTATTGTTGGATTATTAAAAGATAGAATTAGTGTTGATAATTCCCCATCCAGTAAGAAGGCTAGGATCAAAAAATTTACCGAAAAATAACGGGTAGATAGTTTCCCCGCCACATGTATTTTCTTATCTTGTATTAATAAAGAAAAAGCGATGCTGGGGATTATGAGTTATATGTATTCTATCGGGTATAGGAAGTTTATGATTTACTTATTATATGCCTCAAAGAGGCGCCCCTAAAGGGCCAGTAGTGATTAATTTTTTTTTCTTGGCAAAAGTAATCTGCGAGACAAATCTGTCCCGCACTAGTAATTTTGAATCCCTATTATTTTTGGTCACTGGATAACAATCGTGATCTCATTAATCGAAACATAATATCACGTAATTCCGATCGTAAGGTTGTCACAGTCTTTTATCTATACTAATAAATGAACTTTTGAATACATCTGCACCTTATATAAAACAATGGAAAACACTCAATCCGAACTAGATATATTGAAACAAGAGAATACCAGACTTATGACCCGAATTGCGGAATTGGAACAAACCGTGAAAGAGAAAGATGAGCTTATGGCTAGAATTGTGGAATTAGAGCGATATAAATCAGATACCGCGAACCTTATAACTGAGAATGTTGAGCTTAGAGATAGAGTCACAAAATTGGAACAAAAACAGTCCTCGACTTGTCTAGAATTGTCGGATGATCCTAAACCCCAGACACGAAGTACTATTTCTCCTGAAATAAGGAGCGATGTGCAAAATCACGCAGTTAATTTTTCTTGGCGAGAGAATTTATCTGGTCACATTCTCTGAACCTGCTACTTGTATTACTTTACGAAAAAATATAATAAAGAATTCGTTTGATTTTTAAAATATACGCGTGTTTAGCTTCGTGTTATATTATTACATTTATTTTAATGGAAAGGAATCGTCAAGTCCTAGTCATTGCATTTTTTAATTTTCACATTCAATACTTTCCAGACTCACCTGCCGAGGAGCATATCCATGTCATAGTCGAACCACCCGCCTCATTGCAGGCATTGCTTAACAAGTCTGTCTACGGTACGTATAAAATAATGGGAAGAGTAGAGAGACTTCGTAGGATTTTTACTAACCCAGGTGTTGCATTGTAGAGTTCGATGTTATCGTGAGTCCAAAGCAGACAAAAGGATTCAAGTGGACTGTAAATATCGACCATGCAACCCTCAATAATATTAGGAAAGATACTGTATATTTGCAACATATCAAACGCCAGCACTTGAAAATCCGACTGTAGTATTTAACTTCGTGAATGATGGGGGGAGATATTTACCCAGGAACGATGACTCTTTCCGCGAGATGTTGCGGTCGCTAGTATCAAAAAGTAACCATGAGTTCACAGTGTTTATTGAGACTCCCTCGAAGCCGTTCAGTGAGTGGACATTTCCGAAAGTGTGTCAACTCTATGAACTTAGCAATGATCCAAACCCTAGCATTAGGGTGTTTCCTGTTTTTTCATGCGGTTATGTAGACCTAAAGGACGAAAACTCTCAAGTTGTGGTTAGACATCTAATGACCGGTTTGAAACTTCTCCAAGACATTACTCCTCTTGACATGGCGTACGAGGCGACGAAATCCATTTATTCATACAGTTACCTGATCTCTGGAGTCTCATTCTATAAGAATAATTTCAATATTATACCAGAAAAACTTGTTGAAGGTCGGAATGGGCAGGGAAACCTCGATATGCGATTGAGTGTCATTCAACCAATAAGATCGTTGGTTTAGTCGAAGTTAAGAGTTATAGAAGAGAATACAAAGCGCGATGCTAGAGTTGAGGAACTAGAGCAAAAGAATATAGAGCTTGAGACCAGACTTGCTATATTAGAGCAGGGAGAAAAAGGTATTTCTACAAAAGATGTTTCGCAATCTCCAGTAGATTCCAACAATACTCAGGCATCTAATATACCTGATAATACTTCAAATTCTAGTATTACTCCTGAACGAATAGAAAATAGCTCTGATATAACATCTGATGATGCAAAACATCGAACCTCTAATTCTTCTGATACATACCAGGAAAAGAATAGCCGATCCTCCACGTCTTCTATTACTATAAAAACTACATCATCGGAAGAGAAGAAAACTAATGATTTCCTGGATAACATACAGTATATAAAGAAACGATTAGTGAGAGAATAAGAGAAAATAACCGGGAAAAGAAGCTTCAAGTACAAAACTTATCTTCAAATAATAATTCATTAGCTCTAAAGGAGCGTCTCTCTGAGTCATGTGATATAAAAAAAATTCCTAATACCTCTTTGCCGGTGGAGGATCTTGACGATTCTGATGAAATTGAGCTTATTAAAAATCAAAATATAGAATTAGATTTAATACGAGATTTGCGGAATGATATGTTTATTACATTATCCGATCCCATAGAAATACCTTCCAAAGACATCGTGGATAATGAAAAACCAATATCTATTGAATCCTCTTAAATTACAATGCAAAGTTTAATCCATTTATTTAAGAAAGCGACACGAAGAAATTTTATCAGATAATTTTGAGAATAAAGTTATTGAAATTCATTATAAGTCAGGAGTTAATGATAAAACTGTAAGGACCCAAATATACAAAGAAATGTTAGAACATTTACCAGGTGTTACATCGGTTGCCTTGCGAATTAAAACTCTTAGGGCCAGAAAAATTCGTAAGCTATTTGGAGAAAATGGAGTTGGCATTGATAAAGTAAAGTATGTCACCTGCAGTGCAAATGATATTTCAAAATTAACCAATGCACAAATTCAAAATATTATAGATCAAGTAACCTCGAAAACCGTTTCCCAAGGAAACTATCAAAATCATGTGATCACAACTGAGATAAGTGCATCACCTGAAAAGGTTTCACCTAAGGTAAGTGAGGAAACTAAAGAGATTCTTATCAGAAATGAATTGGATATAGATGTTGTTATTCTTCTTTTGCAACAGAAATTCAAAATGCCAAAGAAATTATTAGATAAATGGAGAGATTATATCCCGAGATAATACCAAATACTGGAAGAAAGAATGATAAAATATGCCCGAAGCTGATTTCTTAAAATATAAGAAAAAACTTTGAGGTTAAAATGGGTGTTCCCCACTACTCCACATAAAAAGGAATTAAAAGAGCATTATTCAATATTCATTGAATATGTGTAAGTAGAATTTAGAACATGTTATCTGTGCAACCAGTAGTGACTAGAAATATGTTAATTGGTTATTTTGGTCTTGTTAGTTCCACTAATATTTAAAAAAAAATTTCCGTTAATGATGAATTTCCAAGATACAGTATGGTGCAAAAAATTTTGGAATTTTTTATTTATTCATTACTAAAAAATTACTGCATAGAAATTAATAAAAAATATATCAAAATAAAGTCAAAAATCTAGAGATTTTATTAATATATAATTAATTATTAATTATTTCACCATTATTTTCAATTATTAATTCACATCTCTCTTTCATTAAATCTATAAAATTATTGTAGGTACAATATAAATGCAATAAAGGTGTGATATAGTTACGATAAGCTTTTTTTCATATATATAGTGATTGTATAAAAAATAACCATAATGCAATTACCTTTAACAAGTTGAGTAATATTATTGTAGTGAATAATTTTCTGTGATATAAACATATAACATCTCATGTTAGATGTTATTTACATAATTGTAAAGCATGACTGATGGAGTCAGATCTGTGCAACATTCGATTTCCCAAATTTTTTTTCTATTTATGGCATATTACTCTTTTTAATCATATCTAATGTCTATTAAACAATCAAAATACTTGAACTATACTATGAACCCTCTTTACTAATAATTCAAAAAAAAGAGCTTAAGCAGAACATATTCTTTTTACATATAAAAATAATAAAAAGATAGTTGCTTATTTCAAAGAACTTTTAAAGCCTAATACAGTATGTTTTATTTTAATCATATTAATATTCATCAATAATATCAAATACTTACTTCTTCTTGTATTTTTCTTTCTGCTTCTTATCATCAAATCTATTTAAAAAACATATTTATATTATTATATATCAACCCATTGCTAATAAGTGATTTGTAATAAATTAATTAACACAACGAATATGATATGGCTTAACTTTTATAATCATTGTTATTTTGTTTTTTGTCTTTGCTATCAATATTTCAAACCCTAATAAATCTGTCTTTATTATAAAAGTATTAAATATTTTATATAGCTAATACTTCAAAATCAAATACTAGACTTGTATCCATTTTGCAAACAATTTTAACTTGTTTATTGAAGGAAAGTATACTATAGATCAACTAGAAAAAGCAGGCATATTTGATCAATAGAAAAATTCCTTTTATCTCAACCAGCTTTATATTAATCATAATTATCTTCTATCAATAATATTGAAAGGATAACAAATATGTAACAATCCAATTATTGTTGACTTTTATCCACCACTAAATGATTCACTATGAAAGCAGATCTGAAATCAAGATTATAATATAATTATTTATGATCAAAATATTGAAAATAATGAAAAAAAAGTAGATATGGTTTTTAAAATTTCTATAATAAATGTTATCTGATCTAATAATCCCAGCATACTTGTTCTAATAACTGATGATAGAAATTATGAATCTGTAATAAATGAGGCTCTGAAACACAAGTGGAAGGTTGAAATCTGATTTTAATCATCAGATATAAAATATTGCTGTATTTAAATCACATAAGTTCTCTAAATAAATATCTTATTATATAGGAATATCCAGTAATCTCATAAGAAAATCCATTTTTTATTTTCGGAATAATTTTTATTGATATTTTATATATATGTACAGATAAGATCCTGTTGGAAAAAATTATACTCTTGAAATAACTGATAGTGAAATAATTGAAAAATAAAAGAATAATAAAGTAATAAATTGTTTTGTTTTATTAAAGTTATATAGATAATGATATCAGAAAGAAAAACATATTATATATTTGTATTTCAATAACAAAGTAAATTTGAAAAAGACAAAAAATTGGATGAAGATTGAATATCCTAATATATAAGTTTGAAAAGTAAAAAAGAAAAGTAAGTGCCATTAAGCATAATATATATTTTTTTAATGTTGATATAAATAAAACAAGTCAATTTTAACTTGCTTTGAGTTGGATTTGCATGAATATCAATCAGTAATTATATTTTTAATACAAATCACTGATAATAATCCATATACAATTATTATTATACCTTTGAAATCCTATTTACTTTGTATTATTCATTTATTTATAAATACAACTTTGTAAATTATTAAAGTAATTATATATAGTAGAGATAATCTAAAATTGCCTGCTAAAATCTCTTAGTAAACTGTCAAACTTTACTCAATATAATTTATTTTTGTATTATTAATAAAAAAGATTTTGTGATTCAAATTTTGATATTATTAGTTTAATATTAATTAAAATTGAATAATAAGTTTACTTACAATTTGAATTTTATCTTTTTTAACCATGTGTATATATATTCTGTATAGATAATTGATTTTATAAAAATAATACACTTTAAGATTTTTTTAATACTAATTATTGGATTTATTTTCAACAATGAAATGATATTTCATTATATACTGTTTATATTCAAAGGAATATACTATATACCACAAATAATAGTGAATATAAGATTCCAAAAAGTATTGAACCAGTACCAAAATAATATCAAAATAATACCAATCTATAATAAATTTAATATATGGGTTGTGATTTATTCATATGAATTTATAAAAATTTAAGTATTGAACTGATATTGAAATAGTATCGAAGTGATACCATTAGGAGTCCTAAGTGAGCATCAGATAAATCTTTTGAAGACCACAATCAAAAAGAATTTCAATACTAAAGATAGGTCCCTAAATTATTTAATATATAAAATTTTACAGATTAATTATGTCTTTTTTAAAAAATATAATTATTTATTCATTATTTTAATAAGAATATAATTTAAAAAACATTTGAATTAAGTGATCTAAATTGTAAAAAACTTTTATAAGTAGTTTTTTTTTGATCTTATATTTAAAAAAAAACTTTTTAATAGTAAGAAACATTTAAATTATATTCTTACCTTTAATTTAGGGATCTATCTTTACTTGACACACTTTAAAATAATGTAAAAAGAATAATTGAAATTATTATTGGATTGTTACAAGATCAGATCAATGTTGATAACTTATTAGCTAGTAAGAGGATAAAAATCAAAAAAATTCTGTATACAATACCAAGCATATACCCTTTTATTGGTTGCAATAGAAGCATCAAGAATATTGATGAAACTCAAAAACAGGTTTTTGTATCTTTTGAAATAAGTGGTACTTTAAATTTGAATAATGAATTTATATATAATATTGAATTTAGTTTCTTCTCAAAAAACTTCATTTCAAGATCAAGATATGGATATAGATAAAAATAAAAGAACAGGATATTGAATTGAAATTCTATCCAATCTATTGCAAAAGCATGTTAACAAAGCTATCCCTATGGCAAGTTTTTTTAATAAAATAATTAAAAAGTTTGTTAATAGAAAAGAATCGTCAAAACTGAAAAAGCTTATTGATGAATTATTATCCAATTATTTTTTACAAACTGACAAAGCTATGGAAAAAAGTGTCTTTAGTTATGCTATAATTGTTTCTATCAAAGAAAATACTAATAATTTTTTATATTTTTTTAGAAAGATTAATCAATTCAAATCTAAATATCAAGTTACTAATAAAAAAGTCATTAGTAGTCATTTTGACTTTGAAGGAATTTTATATAACTGATATAAGGATTTAAAAAAGGTAATGACAAAGAAGAAACAAATATTATACTTTTTAATAAGATTAAGAAACAAATACCTATTGAAATAATTGATAATATCTTAAGGAAAAGAACAGAGAGAGCCTGAAAAATTTATAGACTTTTTATTGCTATTGTTAAAGGAAATAAGAAGTTAACAATACAAAAAATAGTGTTAATCAGATTATTTTTAGCATATTTTATTTCAAGCTTAAGTAGAGATAATATTAAATTTAATAATTGTCAAATGTTTGAAAACAATAAAGTAAATTATTACATCATATTATTGTATCCTTATAACTGCCATGTCATGGAAAATCAAATATTGATATATTTTGCTATATGTAATAAAATTATACTATTTTTTAATAAAACATACAAAGTAAAAATCATAAATCACATGCACATATGTAATAGTTAATTCCATCATTTTTATCTATTCCATGCATCCTATTATAGACTTATACTTTTTTTTCTATGAAAATATATACTATTCTTTTAAGTAAGACCATTGGTCTAGAATTATATAAGTCTAATATCTCTTTAAAACATATTTTTCTTATTTTCATTATGAGAGTATAAATTGTTAAATTATTTATGTCACCATTAGTGAGAAGAGAAATATGATATAGTGTTTCTGCAATTTAATCCATTAAGC